CGACTTGACCTAGTTGATATGGGGATTCACCCAGACCTTCATCCGAAGTTGCTTCCTAATGGCAAATATCAATTGTTTGCTGCTTGTTTTGAGATTTCTAAAGTCAAAAAAGATGTGTTTTTCAAAGTTTTGAAAAATATCAAAGTTTCAAATGGCTATGCGTCAAATATTTCAAGATGTGTGAATCTGAAGGAGTAAAAACTTTTTTCATTAAAGTCACATGATTATCACATTTTGATGCAAGACTTACTTTCAATTACTTTATGTTCATCAATGTCAAAGCAAGTCACTTCTGTGGTAATTGAATTGAGTAACATATTTAAATCTCTAGGTCAAAAATGTATGAATGTGAAAGAGCTTGACAAATTTCAAGATCGAGCTGTTATTACTTTATGTCATTTAGAGAAGATCTTCTCTCCAAACGTTTTTACTATTATAGTGCATTTGGTTATCCACCTTTTATATGAGGTAAAAGTCAGTAGGTCGATTTATTATCGATAGATGTATCATATTAAAATGTATTATTTGTTAATAGATTGATTACGTTTTTATTGATGATCAAGCCACTCAACTTAAAATAACATATGACTAATATTTTATGTTCTAAGTTTTTGGGGATGTTAAAGTCTTATTGTCACAACAAACACTATCTGAAAGGTTCTATTGCTGAAAGATATTTAGCAAAAGAGTGTATGATATTTTGTTCTCGTTATTTAGAAGATGTCGAAATGAGATTTAATAGACCATCGAGAAATGTTGGTATGTAGCATACAGACTCCGTCTACAATTATCTTTTTCAAAGTTTTGGGCAACTCATAGGCAAAGCTGAATTGGTGGAGTTAGATGATAAATCTTGAGCACAAGCACATCGATATGTTCTTTTTCATCATGACTCAATCGAATCATTTCACACATAAGTTTTGTAGTAAGAAAATAATTCATTACATTAAGCATAATTTATTGTCTTTTTTTTTTATTGTTAATACTTTATCATGATGCTTTATAGTGAGTGTAAAAATAATTTGAGAGATCTTACACATTATCAATGATCAAACCCTCGTGAACTTGATAAGTTGTTTGCTAAAAACTTTCATGAATGGTTATGAGCTATTGTAAGTAATGCCATACTTCCCATTATGATAAATCTACACAGAATGCTCACGGTATAAATAACATTAATAACATATATATATTTATTCCACTTTTATAAGTTTAGAGTGTAAGGCTTGTTAATCAAGAGGTGAAATGTCTTTCACACGATCCAAACCGGATTATGAAATGATACAAAGATTTCATCATTAATGGATTTAGATTTCACACTAAATCCAGTGAGAAATTTAAAAGTACACAAAATTCAAGAGTTGTTGTGACTTCATCAACTACTAGTTATGCTAGTGCTAAGGACATAGACACTTTAAAAGGAAATGTTGACTATTGTGGCATGATTAATGACATCATTGAGTTGGATTATTATGGCAAGTGAAAATTTGTCTTATTTTGGTGTGATTGAGCTGATGTGAATAGTGCAAAAGATATTAAAAAAGATCAGTATGGATTAACACTTGTGAATTTTTCTCGATTAATTCACACAAACAATAACTCATCGATGAACCTTATGTATTTTCATCTTAAGTCAAACAAGTATTTTACTCCAAAGATCCCAAAGAATTGGGTTGGTTTGTTGTTATTCGAAACACACCTAAAGACTTATTTGATATGGGGTTAGATACCAAAGATGATGTTGAACATGGAACTGAATGTTATCCTTTTACCGAACAAAACTTGGATGAAAATATCTTCAGTAGCTACACTCAGTAGGTCCGTCAAGATGTTACTGAAGATATTTACAAAACCTGAAATGGTGCATCTATAATTTGTAATTCGAGTGTTTAAAACATAATGTAATAAATGATAGTATGTAAATCATGTGACATTCGCTATTGTATAATTATTGTATTCTAAATCATACATTATCTTTTGATTTAATTAAATCGATATGTTCTTTATCTATCACAGATTTTGATTTCTTAAATTGTCAATGTCTTTATATGTGTTGTAAACTAATATTTTTCTATATTCGCTTTTATGATGTAGGTAAGCTACAATGCAGAAGAGTAGGTTGAAAGAAAAACATATAAGAGATATTAGTTCAAAATCATCTGCGGCACCTATAAATATTGGCTATGGAGTAAATTCTTTGGAGGAAAATGAACGTACTATCGGATCTAACTCCGTCACTTCTCACCCTTCAACTGATATTGGATTTGACAATACAAGAGGTACAGGTTTAGATAGTACCCCATTAATTGATTATGCTTTAAATTTAATACAGGTATGATATACTTCAATTTTAGAATTTGAGTATAATGATAAAAGTATTGTTATTTTATAAATATATTTCTTATTTGTTGCAGTTAATAACAATGGTCATCGAAGGACCAAAGGCCGGACAACTTTGAACGAATTGTTTGCACCAACTCCTAATGAGCGTATTGTAGTGTCTGTAAACTCTAATAGGCAACCAATTGGTGAAGAGGCTTAACTATTGGCTGAATTTTTAGGCATGACAGCCCGTAATGGAATGAAATTACCTATTCATTATGAAACATGGCATAAAGTTCCAAAAGAAGTTAAGGCTAATGCGTTAAAATTTATTAAGGTATTAGTATAATTAATTAGATATAAAATTTATTTTTATTTTACATATTGTTTACTTATTCTAACTTTTCTTATTGTATTATTATAGTCAAGATTTGTACTTGAAATACCAACTTCATTTGTGCTTAAGTCATTGGAAAAGAAATAGAAAGATTATAAGCATAGTTTGAAGAATAAGTATTTCGATCAAAATACTACTGTAAAGACGATGATGGAAAATCTACCCCTTAATGTGATTAGGTGGCAATATGAACAACAGGTTAGATTTTGGTTCTAAAAAAAAAGAGAGGTACTAGTTTATAACTTTGTATAGTAGAATGAAATGATGAAAGTTGGTAATATTTGTATTTTATCATATATGTAATTATTTTTTGTGACAGGAAAGAGAACAGATTGGGATTGGTAGTAGAAAGCAACAGAAATATAGCCACACAAGTGGATTAAAAAGTTTTGCAAGAAAGCAAAAAGAAATCATAAGTTTATGATAATAAATGTATTCCAATGAATGAACTTTTTCAGCCATTAAAAGGTAAATATGCAAATTAATAGTTATTGTTATGTTTTAATAGTTTTGATAGTTTCAATACATAATATTAAACTTATCAAAAGTTTTAAACTTAGTTGATACAGATTATATGTATGAAAAGTTATTGTTTACGTATATTTACGCTTTTAATACAAATTTATTGTGATTGTTGTATTTTAACAGTTTGGATGGCTTCAATACTTGATATTAAATATATCCAATTGATTAAACTTGGTTTCTATGGTTGATATGAGAGAAAAAGTTGTTATTTATGTCTGTTTAGGAGTATTTTTGCATATATAAGGTAAATATACAAATTAAATTTTTTTATGGCTTTCAACATATTGAATGGCTTCAATCCTTGATATTAAACGGGGAGAAAATAATTGAATTTGGTTTCCATGATCGATATGTGTGAAAGCCCAAAATGATTTTATTGTTTGCATATATTTAAGACTATTATGTTGTTACGGGACCAAAATATAAACACATGAGATTAAAATTATTCAAAAGTTTAATATTTGATTGACAGGCTTGATATACATGAATAAGTTACGGTTGATATGTATCCTATCAAATAATATATATTTTTGTATAGGAGAATGAGATGGGCGGTATAATTGAACGTGTGGAACTTTTTCGCATAACATATACAAAAAAAGATGAATCTTACATGAATGTTGAAATACAAGAAATTGTGGTAGTTTGTATCATCTATTTTAACAAAAAGTAAATATTTGCTCTTTTTAATATATAATCAATTAATCATTAAACTTGATAGTTGTATATGATAAATTACAGGAAAAAATGAAAGAGAAAATGACTGTTGAGATTGAAGTAACATCTGATGGTTCTCTCAACAAACAAAAAATGAAAAATCAGATATTCATAGAAGTTCCTAAAAATGAAAGATATGAACTAGTCCGAGGCCTTAGATTGGGTCCAACACCATCTCACCATCTGCTTACTATGGACATAGCTCTCCGTAATTTATATTCTCAGCAAATCAATCTTTGCGAGACATTTCAATATTGAAAGGGGAGTTGTAAACTATGCAACAACGTTTTCAGCAAATGAAAGCAGAAAGAGAACAGGAACGTACCAAAATTGACGAAGAATGTGTTAGAATGGAGCAAGAACATGCTAAATTTCAGCAGTTGCATGATCGATTCGATCATCTTATGAATTTTGTGCAACAACAATTTTCAAAAAATGATCTTGGTGCTCCACCAACTCAGGTATTATATTTGGTAAATATTTAAATTTTTAAATATATAAAAAGCTTACAATGAAGTGTTAAAAATTGTATGGTATTATTTAATAGGTTCTTGAGCACGCTAGTGACCAAGGTGAAAAATTTTCTTCATCAATTGGCAGCCAGCAAAATGTATGCAGTTATCTATTTCATACATTTTAATTTTTTATTTTGTTAATGTATATAAAATATTTAAATGTTATTATACTAATTATTAAATTTTATATTAATTAGATGTATATTTAAACGTGAATGAAGTTAATATAAATTTCAGTTTCTGAATTTAAGCTCTTTAATGAAAATAAAATTTATTAAATGAATTTAGAAAAAAATACATTTTTACATAATAGTAGCATTTGCATTCATCGTGGGTCGCTAAATAAATAATTTAGTGGCATTTGTAGCATAAAACGCCACTATAAGTAACAACGCTTTTACCAGTAAATGTCGTTTGTTAAGTGACATTTTTCTCATAAAACGTCACTAAAGCAACAGCATTTTTCTCATAAAAATGTCACTGAATTAACGGCAATTAAAAGATACAAATGTCGCTAATATAAAGACATTTTCATATTTAAATGCCTTTAAAGTAGCGACGTTTTCAACTACAAATGCCAACAAAGCAACGATGTTTTTCCCATAAAAATGTCACTAATTTAGCGGTGTCTCAAAGATAGAAATGCCGCTAAAATGACGGCGTTTCAAATATAAACGTCGCTAATATTAAAGTGTTTTTATTAAAACGCTGCTACTTATCGTGATGCATGAATAGCTGGCACTCTGCGTTGCGTTTTTCGTAAACGTCGTAAATTTTTTTGTGAGGTTTATAAACGTCACTAAACGTTAAAAAAAAACACCATTTAAAACCAAAACCCTTGTACCGAATGTAACATGGACATGCATTTGCAAGATACAAGAGAATATTTATACTTGTCAAGAAAGAGAGAGAATGTTTGAAACTATTGCAAACAGCTAGCAGTCATGGTTAGAAAAAGAAAATTTTTGATGGATAGACTTTGGCAGAGTTGAACGCTTATGCTAAGTAATCTGCTTAATCCCTTTGAAGATCCATTCTTCTCCGCCTAAGTTGCATAACCATGCACTCATTCCCAAGCTTCAGACACTCGTTTTCCAGTCTCATCTTGTCCAGCTCCAAGTCCTGTTTCCAGCTATCACGCTGCCACTTGAACCGTTGCTTCTCTAATTTGAGAACCTTGGACTTTAGCTGTAACTTTTGCTTCTCAAGTTGATACACGCGATATGCCATCCATTGCTTCTGTGATCCATCTGCTTCGTTGCCTTCAGGGCAACTAAGATTACGATGAGTTAAATTATACACTGGTTGAGCATCCAATATTTGGTTGCAGTCCCACGGATTAAAAGGATTCCCAAGACCGGCAACTTCATTTTCATTTGTTTGCTTCAACCTCATTGCAGAGACTGCACAAAACCTAGAATTCGCCCCATTGTTCTCAGCTATATCACCTTGAGCATTTAAAGTTTGGTTAGAATCCAATGGCTTTGAAGTATTCCCAAAACCTGCAATCTCATTTTCATTAATCAGTCTCAACCACTGCGCCAAGAACTCTGGACACCCAGATGTTGCCCCAACATCCTCAGCTGTATCAACTTCAGCAAGAACTCCCCCTTTTTTATCAGTACCATCAAGCACAAGCTGGCCCGAGTCATGAAGCTCAGAATCATCTTCATTCTTCAGAACTAAGAGTAAACACTGCAGCAAATCTGGGTCATGAGGTAGAAACAATCGATTGCCATTATGATATGAGCACATCTCTTCAAAAAACAAATGTTTTGAAGTCAAAATTTTTCTTACATCTTCTTTCCCCTTCTCAGATACTTCTATAATGTCCAAAAGCTTTGGGTTCTCAACAACCTTGCAAGAAGTGCCTCTTCCCAGTAAATCATTCAGTCTTCTATATTTTTTGTTCAAATTATTAAACTTGTCCTCACATTGTTGAGGCGATACATGGTAACCCCTTTCAACCATGACCTTCGAAACACACTTCCATTTTCCTAGTTTCCTCAGAAGAGAAGACATTTTTCTCTGACTAGCCACACAATCAGTGGAAGGATCCTCCCCAATGTAGGAAAGAATAGTAATCAAAATCTTCACCATTTTTCCAGTCCATTTCATGCGCTTCCAGGGTGATCCATCGTCACTCTTACCAACTTCATTCTGCTCAAGCTTGCCTTGGTCAGCATAATTTGTCACATCATCCTCAATAACCATGTTTTCCTGTCTCTCATTCTCAACTAAACCAAAACCGGAAGGAAGTTCAGACATGCATGGCTTTTGTTCGTATTGAAGTTGCATTGATCCTTGCAGGTCTAGACAACCATACGCCCATCCCTGCAGCATGTTACTAGTTGATGATGGTCGACCTTCCATTTGTTGTCAAGCAAATATGTGATAAAATAATTGGAAGAAATCCTAAAAAATATGTCCCTCAGGATATAATCCTGTTGCTCAGTTGGCATACCAATACCATTGGGCAACAATTGAAGAGTTCAGCAGATACAAACAGTCAAATTGATTCTCAGTTTAGGACCAAGCTAAAGAGTCCCACGGTACTATTTTCATTCCCTGAATACCAATAACTACAATTAGATCTATCTGTAAAAGCTAAACCAACGGTTAGACAGCCAAAATCTTTCAAATTTCTAGGACTGATTCGAACAAACAATACCCAATTTGATGAAGGCAGATCTGATTGAGAATTTGAGACCCTACAAATTGCATATGCTATAATCTGTTTCCAATTAATGAATTAAAAACAGAAACATATGAATGTGAAAGTCTATGTATAATCAGAGATTTATAAAACAATTCAAATAGCCAAAGGAGACTTATCTGCTGCACACAGCAAGGAGCCGTTTCCTCCGTTAGCCAATTTGGCTCCCTCTTTACAAACTGAGATGTGGAAGCAACATCACTAGATCTAATTCAGATTTAAGGGCACTTGGTGCAATTAAGGACAGCTTGGGAATTGGGGAAAACTGACGTTAATAAAAATGAAACGCCTGAAAGGCAACTTGGGCACATCTGGCTTCGGTTCTAGCATAAGCACAGGTACCATATTTTAGGTGCCAGTTGTCAATTCATTATTGCTCACTACAGCAAACATAGAAAAAAACAGCTCAGAGGTCACTACGGTTTATGTTCAAAATTTATAACAATGAGCCTGAGTTGATGAAACAAATTAACATAATGCATCATTCAGCAAAACATGAGGCGAAGCTGACAATCTTAAATAGACCTGGCAAAAATTCTTTCGTTAGACTAATTTTAAAATAGGAATCCAAGAAGTTACCCCGCATCACAACATGTACTCGGTTTTAGACACTGCTAATCTTCCTGTGCTTAAGTTCAAATGCCACACGATCATTCTCAAGCTTCATATACTCATTTTCCAGCCTTATATTGTCCAAATTCCTTTCCATTTTACAATTGATCGTATGCCACTTAAACCGTTGTTTCTCCAACACAAGCTTTGGGACCTGAATCGTCAACTTCTGCTCTTTCAACAGAAGTAAGCGAAATGCAATCCATTGCTCCTGCAACCCATCTGCACTGCTGCCGTTAGGGTAAACATGATTCACATCAATTTGGTCATCTTGTTAAGCAGCTCCTGACTTTTTGCCATGCCCCTTAATTTTCAAAGGATTGCCAACAATCACATCTTTCATTTCATTCATTTGTTTTGACGTCTTCGAGGATAGCTCAGGAAACCATGGGGTTCCCCTCTTATCTTCTGTTTCCTCAATTTGATCATTAGCTCCAGCATCTTTCTGTTCTTTGTCAAAGCCATCATCCCCTTTGTGCTACATTGACTGCCTGTTAGGCTTTAAATTATTGTAACGGTCATGTTTTTTATCGTGTTACGTTTCTCACGATTACGGATCTAATTTGGGTCATTGCGATTATCATGATTGTGAATTTTTTAAAATTTTGTTTAATTTAATATAAGATATAATAATTTTAATTATTAATTATAAACCATCTTATTTTATGATTTTTAAAATAATTTATATCATATAATGTGTTTTATTTATTTTAAAAAAATATTTATAGTAAAATATTCATATTTAAAAAATTATTTATAGGATAATTAAAAAATAATAAAAGATAAATAAACATGTGAAAAATAAATAATTATAACGAATGATATATTTAATTATTTAATTACCATACTCATCAAATTATTACTGAACTATATTATGCATAAATCAAATAATAAATAATTAGACATTCATAAATTAAGTAAGAGTATTATTATTTATGAGTCAAGAGAATTATTTTTTATGAACTTACAATAAATCAAACTTAACAGCTTTCATGTTGTGGGCTATTTTCAACAATAATAATTTCAAGTCTACTTTCTTTGCCTTTTGATTAAACTGCACAGACCCACACAATTTTTTATCCTTTCACCTTTAATAATTTTTTTTCTCCAAACCTTCATCCTCATCCCCATCTCTCAGTTCTCTTTTTATTTGGTGTGTGCTATCTGCTTGCTTCCGTCAACCTCAAGTCTCACTCTGATATCTTGTCTCTCATTTTAAGTCCCAATAACTCATGTCTTCCTATATCAATATATCATAGTCCAATCTAATTTCAAACACACAAAATCACGACAAATTTGAAAATTAAAAAAAAAAAGGTAATTTGAGTATTGAATTAATTGCTTACTTTAAACTGCATGTACTTGATTTTGATTAAAGTTAAATTTGAGAGAATTAATATTTTTAAAAGTTTAAATTTTATGATTTTTTTTTTTGAATTTGTAAATTAATGTTTATTTTTTTTCTTGTTATTTTTATTTTAAGTCTTTAAACAGAAGAAATTTAGCATCCTCAACTTTGTTTCCCGTTAGTGTGAAAATGCTACGGGCAGCTCATCATTCTATGGCTTGGATGCCAGTGTGTTGCAAATTCTTTTAAACATTGATTGACCACAACAATGAAATCTTCAGCACCTTCATAGTAATCTTCTTATTCTTATTCTAAGCTCTTCCTTATTCTAAACTCTTCCCCACCATGTGTATGTTCATTCACCCGGCTATTGAATAAGCAAGAAGATTAAGGTGCATATTTAATGCCTCGATCATTTCCCAAATTAAAAGTCACATCAAAAAGTAAAAAAAACCTCACCTCCCAACAGTGAATATTAACAAATTGCCTATATCTAGAACGTTGAAGCGAATATTTTTTTTTGAATGAAAATAAAAATAGCAATAATAATGAATTATTATTGTCATTATTCATTGTTATATCGTAATTTAAAACCGTGATTCATTCATTATAAATAAAATTTAAGTTTTTCCTCGTTTTTTCTTCAATAACAGTGGTTAATAGTGAAACGATCGCGAAATAGCGGTCGTTACACCGCTATCCAACCGCTATTTGACTCTTTAGGCTCATCGTCATCTCTACTTATAAGAGCCAACCGCAAGGAGCGCTGCAGCTCCGGATCATGAGGGAGATACAATCTCTTCCCAGTATGATATGAGCACATCTCCTCATAAAACAGATTCTTTGCGCTCAAAATTTTCTTCACCTCCTCCTTTACCTTATCAGATACATCCATTATGTCCAAAAGCTCCGAGGTCTCTACAACCTTGCAAGAAGTGATCTCCCAAGAACATCATTGAGTCTCTTTTATCTTTTATTCAAATCATTGAACTTGTCCTCGCATTGATGAGGTGATACATGATAACCCCTTTCGACCATGACTTTAGAAACAGATTTCCACTTCCCTATCTTCCGCAACATAGAATGTTTTCTTTAACACCACCCTGACAATCAGAAGAAGCATCCTCTTCAATATAATAAACAGCATTAATTAAAAGCTTAACCATTTGTTCTGTTCATTTTACACGCTGCCACAAGAACTTCCTTTTCTTCTTATGACCATCATAACATACACGACCGCCATCTTCATCAAAATTAATCCCATTATTATCACTTGTCAACTTCTCCACTCATAAGGTTTTTCAATTCTTTTCATATTTTCTAACCTGAAAGAAAAACATCTGGAAAATGGGAAGGCTTAATATCCAAATAAACCCTCAAACTTTGTTTCAATATGCAAACAAGCCCTTGATCTTTTATTGTATGAAATTAAGATATAAAACTTTTATTTTATTATAATTATACTCATTAAATCTTAAAATTGGATAAATAATGTCCAATTAATAGAAATTTTTTAAATAGTATTTTTTAAAATATTTATCATTTAACTTATCCAAATAAATATAAGTAAACATTTTTTACAAATTAAATCATTCATTTAAAAAATTAAATATTTTATACTGTCAAATAATTACAATAAATTAAAAATTTATAACTTTAATTTCATGCAATAAAAGATTAAGGGTTTATTTGTATTTTAAAATAAAATTTGTGGATTTATTTAGATATTGTACCAACTAGAAACCTTGCTTGAAAAATTGGGGGCTTAACCCCTGATGAAATTGCAATGAGCCTTGTAAGTCAAAAAATGTAGATGCCTGCCCACCGGAGCGAATCACATTACCATCTGATGTAGGATTTCCGTCCATATTTTGCCACACAAAAGAAAAATAAGAGCTTTTAAAACCAAAAACACATGCTACTCTGTTCCTTCAATGCAGCTTACAAGCTTTATAGGCCAAATTGGCCTTAGAATCTAGAGAATTAAAAAAAGACAACGCTGCGAGTCAAGTTTAATAATTTAAAATATAATGTAAATATAATATTAAAATAAAATATAAAAATAATATATTTTAAAATTTTAATAATAATTATATATAAATTTTAAAAAATAAATATTTTTGTGTTAATATAACATATAACTTTTATATAAAATAAATTTTAATATATAAATTTTAATATTTTATGTGACATAGATATAAAAATCATCATGATTATTGGTAATAAGTGTTTAATCAAAACAGTACCCTTGAGCGGCTGCAATAATTAAAGTGAATCCAGCACCCAGATTCAGAAAATCTACACCAATTAAACACCCGAAATGAATGCAAATAAGAGACTCATCATTTTTTTAAGAAAAAAAGTTCGACTTTACTTTGGGCTCCAACTCATTTTGCAGAGTTACAAACTTGCAGTTGCGCTAGCTAAGACGTCGGAGCAATTTGAGTAAACGAGAATTTGGCACGCCTGGGTCAGATCCGACCCGGATAAATCAAGCCCTAATTTAAATTGGGCTGGATTCGGTCTGGGTTGCAGTCTTTATTTTAAGGCCTGAATGCTTGCCAATGCCAGCCCACTCTACGATCTCCTTCCTCGACAAATTCCTAAAACTCTGCAAACCCTATACCCTCGTATTTGTTAACAGATCAAATGTCGATTTAGAACGCATATCTTCAAAAAGTTCATTTCTTTGATGATGGATCCCTTAATTGGTGAAACCAATCAACATGAAGTAGAGAAGCAAGAAACGCCTTTGCCTCTTCAACGAATCGCCAACAACTCGAAACTGGCCCCGAAACGTTTCTTCAAGAACCAAATCCCTGACTCAATCCTCAACGACGCCTTGCTCAACGCCGCAATTTCGCTTCTTCCTTCTAACTACAATTTCGAAATCCATAAATGCGTCTGGCGCGTCCGTTCCACAGGCGCGAAGCGCGTCGCCCTCCAATTTCCTGAAGGTCTTCTAATGTATTCCCTTGTCATCTCCGATATTCTCACTTCTTTCGCTGACATCACCCACTGCTTTGTACTCGGCGATGTCACCTATGGCGCATGCTGCGTCGATGACCTATCCGCCACCGCTCTTGGTGCCGATTTGTTAATCCACTACGGCCACAGCTGCTTAGTCCCAATCGACTCCACAAAAATCCCTTGCCTTTACGTCTTCGTTGAGATTAAAATCAATGTCGACGGTCTCGTCAACACAATCGAACACAACCTTACTTCTTGCAAGGAATCCGTTATCCTTGCCGGGACGATTCAGTTCTCCTCGGCGATTAGATCGGCCAAGCCAGAGCTAGAAAAACGAGGGTTTAAGGTTTTAATTCCTCAGTCAAAGCCGCTGTCAGCTGGTGAAGTTTTAGGTTGCACCGCTCCCAAAATCGGTTCCGTTATAAATGCTAATGAATCCGTGGCTGTTTTTGTGGCTGATGGGAGGTTTCACTTAGAGGCGTTTATGATTGCGAATCCAGGGATCAAGGCTTTTCGATACGATCCTTATCTAGGAAAGTTGTTTTTGGAGGAATTTGATCATAAGGGAATGAGGGAAACGCGAAGGAGAGCGATAGAGAAAGCAAAGAGAGCGAAGAGTTGGGGGATTGTGTTGGGGACATTGGGGAGGCAAGGGAATCCTAGGGTTTTAGAGAGGTTAGAAGGGAAAATGAGGGAGAAAGGATTTGATTATACGGTTATTTTGATGTCAGAAATTAGTCCTACGCGGATTGCTTTGTTTGAAGATGCAGTGGATGCTTGGGTTCAAATTGCTTGTCCTAGGCTTTCTATTGATTGGGGTGATGCCTTTGTAAAACCTTTGCTGACTACATTTGAGGCAGAGATTGCACTTGGGGAGATATCAGGGTGGTGGGAGATAGACAGTTGCGGCTCTTGTGGAAATGGGTTTAATGGTGGGGAGAGTAAATCATGTTGTGGTTGCAGAGGAAGAGAGGATTTTCGTGGCGATTATCCGATGGATTATTATGCGCAGGATGGTGGGGAATGGAATTCATCTTATGTGAAGAAGTTGGCTCGTCCTGTGAGGAGAAATATTGCACCTCTCTGTGGTCATGGTGCTGTCCTTTAGCAGCCGGGGGCAATTGAAACTTTGTATTCCTGTGAGCATGTAACTCTACTTGTGTCATTTTATATCTAATTTATAGGAGGTTTGAACATGAGTTATTATTTGAATACCCTTGTCGTTTTCCATGTTTCAATTGTAAAGCAGATCTCAGAATGAGCTTTAGATGCAATATGGACTGAAATTAATATAGCTTGAAGATCACTTGGAGTTAAAATTGTTGCTGTAATTTGTTGATGTTCTGTTTCTTTAAGTTATCTCGGCAGAAAGAAGTTTTGTGCTATGAAATCAGAGTTTATGTTACTAGATAGATGATTTTAATGTGTGCATGGATTATTCCATTTTGAAACCAAATTCTTTGGTATACCTTTCAGTATTATCTGGATAGACTATCTTTATTTTTTCTTATGTCCGGGTACTTACATCACTTGATGAGTATGACTTAAAATTTAAAGAAAATTTTTACCAAAAGCAAGAAGGAGTTCAGGTTAGTTAATTTATTAACCCACAAAAAGAGAAACAATTAAGCCCCTGTTACAGTTTTGAGGTAATGGCCTTTGAAAATAATTCATATATTAGCTTGTGATTTTGCATATGTTCTAACAAAATGTTTCCTTCGACCTTAAAACTTATTGATGTTGAAATTGATATTTTAATGACTTGATTATTATAGAGCCACCAAATGTAGCTTATTGTTAATAGACCACTAATGGGAAGGGCAGTGAGACTACCAGCATGCTAGTTAAGGAATGAACATCAATAGCAATTTGAAGAAGGTTATTGCTAATGATAATTAGGAAGGGTAAGTCCGGGAAATTTTTTGCATCAGTCGTGGTTTCAAATGGCAAAAAGGTGAATGAAGTCAATGAAACTCAAGCACCTCCTCACAAATAGCTGAAAAAGGGGAAGAAATACGGCTAGATGTAGGTGAAAGAGATGAGGATCTAGGTGCTCCCCTGCCCTTTCCTGCCATCTCTTTTTTATCATATAAACAATGCTTCATTTGCCCAAGATATCTCTTCACTATTGTTATCTATCGTCTAAGGAATCCTAAATACAATTCTGACAGTTCCTAACTTGGTAAGGTTACATATAAACTCAGATTAAGAATATAAGCATCACATACTAAAATGGTATTATTTTCCTTGACCAAAAAAATGGTAGTACTATCTTTCTTTTTTTTGGTTACAGGTAATACTATCATTCTTAAAACTTATTATATGTAAGGATGAGGATCAAACTTTAAGCATCACATAACATTATTTGCTTAACTAGATGTATGAGGTCTACAAGTATATGCATTATTTTCCTCTGCAGCAGCATAGAGTGCCTTAATTTCTTCAATATCATCATAACTGCCAAGGAAAACAGGAGAACGCTCATGTATCTTCTTTGGAACCAAGTCAAGTGCCTACATGGAAATTAACAAAATAAGAGGATTGTGGTAGCTTATGAGATCAAATAGTGAGTGAAAGAAAGATTGTCTTGAAGGGGGATCTTGTCATACCTGTTGCTTTCCAGTGAAAGCCTGACCTCCTGCTTGCTCCATCAGGTATGACATTGGGAAGACTTCATAAAGAACCCTTTATTGGAAGTTAAATTTATTAGTATCAAATATCAGTATGTCAATATTGGCGGGATACAGAAGTTACAAGGTAAATGAAGCTTCTGAAACAATATACCGTAGCTTCCCATTGGGATTTTTCTTATCTGCAGGGTATAAAAAGATACCGCCATAAAGCAATGTGCGGTGGACATCAGCGACCATGCTGCAAGGCAATAGGATTAGTGGAAGGTACAATTTATTAGCTTTTCAGAACAGAATGAGGTAAACAAGTGGAGAGAAAGAATGATTTAGATCATATGGTATTTTTCAAGAGTTGTTTTTGTGAGTATTACATGTGAATTTTCCTGATTGGTTTCAAATTTTTTTCTGATGTAAACTTTGGTTAATTATAGAATGTGATTCTGACACGTTAATACCTTCCAATGTATCTAAGGGACTTTGGTGGTGAACCATCCGTAGGGAACTTGCATTTTTCAACGAACTTTGTAGTTGGCTCATCCCAGTTTTTGGCGTTTCCTTCATTTACTGAATAAATCTTTCCTTTTTTAGGTATCTGCTCCAAAATAAACAGGATTAACTCTTAACATCAATTTTGCTTGGAAATGTAAATGGGATTAGTCCAAATATGTTCGGGCATCTCCCTCAGGTTGTTTTTCTTGCAAGAAAAAATGAAAGCATTACATGGAAACTCTGAAAACTTAAGCTGATCAGACAAGTTAACTTTTGATACCTTGATATTGGGATGGGTTAATATGAACTCCCCGAGAGATGGATCAAGTGTGAAACCATTAACGCCACTCCCTGTACTCAGCACTAGCTGCAAACCCAAGAAAAGAAAGACTTGGTTGGGGTATCACTAAACAAAACAGAGTAAATGGACTAAGAGAATGAAATTGAACGGTGAATGCAGATAAATGGTGTGTTTCTACCGTGCAGGCGCTTCCATACATGCAATAACCAGCTGCTAACAGATTTCTTCCAGGTTGCAACACATCATCAAGGGTTGGGTTATTTTTATCCTTCACCAAGTAAATCCCGAAGATCTGTTTACAAGAGGGGAAAACGCATGTTACTGTTCATATAAACCAGTCTAAAATGTCCAAGCAGATGGAATGCTAAAGCAACAGCTAGCTTTGGGGGTGGATAAGGAGCCGTACAGTTCCTATGGAAACACCGCAGTCGATGTTTGAGGATCCATCCAATGGGTCAAAAACAACAATGTATCTGAATTCAGCAGAAGATTTGGGGGAAAAGAAACGTTAGTCTGGAATTTATAACTGTATTTGGTACAACAAAGTAAATTATGCAACAGACAATTATTCTGCAAAAACCTTCCACGCTTTGATGGCTCCACAAATGTAGCCTCTTCGTCCTCCTCCGAAACAAGGATGCACTGGCAAATACATAAAATTACAAAAATTCTCAGAACCAGTCAGTAATTTTATTCAATTAACAGATGGCTTCAGACTTACTGTTCGTCCACTGCTAATCAAAGCCTTAACAAAAACTTCATTTGAAAGCACATCCAACTTCTTTTGTTCTTCACCCTGAAACAGGAAAAGCTCAATTTATGAAAAAGGAATAGAAGATAGGTCGAAGGAAAGCCATGAGCAGGGGGTTTTGACAATGAAAGCATACCTGAACATTGGTCTCTCCTGCAAGTCCAATGAGTTTTGCAAGACCTGCCTGTAAACCATAGAACCATGATTTGTAAAAGCAACTAATAAACCATAAAAAATCTTAAAGACTACTTGGAGAAAATGTTGAGTCCATTTGGAATCTGATATGCGGCTACAAAAATACCAAATCTTGTCATGTCTATCAACTAAGCTTTTCCTGTACATTTGAGCAAAGAATTTATAAAAGAACCAAGTTTAAAATTCTTTTAAAAAATCACCAAAAAAGATAGTGTAAAAACCTTGCTCACAGAAGAGCAGACGAATTTGCAGCCAAGAACAATGTGATTGAGCAAGATGGTGAAATCTCCCCGAGATTCAGGGTACTTGGATTGCTCATTCAGGACATGGCGAGTGATGGTCATCAAATCAGTTCTATTAGCATCAGCTGCATGATCCATGACTCCCCTTTGTCAAAAGAGAAAAAAAAAAAAAAAAAAGAAACCCTCAAATCTTTCTCTCAACAGGATTAATCCTTCTTTTGGCGATCAAATTTATAAGCAACTAAAGGACATCAAAGAATCCTTTCATTTTTGTTAAGAAAGAGAAGGTGGAGAATAAAAATATAGTGTTCCACGTTTTAAGGATAACAAGTTGGACTGGCATTATCTTGGGAATATAACCAACATGGTCGAGTGATATTAGTCAATGAAGGATTGGAATGACACGTTTTGATACCTGATCTGGCTGTGACTCACAACTCACAAACAACTAAAGATCAGCTCATTTCACTTGCAATCTATATGCTGTTGATAGTGCTACGAGTCCTTGGCTTCTGATCAACAATGGCATGTATTTGGGGATATGTAATTACTGTTTATTGATTTAATTTAAGTTTTAATAGTCATCATATCCCGAAGACAATGAGCGTAATGCTTACTTGAGAAATGCAGGGGCAGTCAAGTTAACAGCTGCCTTTAAACGCCCGTGCTCTTAAAATAGCCATGTCATCTAACATTTTAAATTCCAAACCGACAACTCCTAATAACAGGTTTCTATTTCTCAAGTTGTCTTTTTGTTCTTTTAGTTTTCCCATCTTTCGTAATCTGTACCAAGATATGAAGCATAAGAACTAAAAAGAGAGAGCAAAGCCACAAATTAAAAAAAAAAAAGCGCATAAACTGTTGAGCTTAAGAGGAAGTACCAACCACCCATTAATGTAACTATCTACTTTTCTTTCAGTTTTGTCTCAAAAGCTTTTTTGCAACCTACAAGCGCTCAATTGAAATCCATCTTTATGTTATTATTATTATTATTATTATTATTTTTACTTTTTGTGAGTTAAGAGCTTGAGGATCAAGTCCTACAAGATGAATATAAATATCTTGAAAACAGTGAACGAGAATTGATATCTGTCGAACTATAAAAGCATTATCTCTCAATCTCTTATGAGCTTTGATACAAATAATTTTCTGTCTATTTGAGCTTCCTTGTTGAAGAATATTGGGCAAGGTACAAAAATGGTGATGGGAGAAACCCAATTTTTTTTTTTGGTTTTAAACTCTTTGAGATAAAAATTAAAATTAATCAAATAGATATTCATAAGAGAACATATAATTTGTTTCTTTAAAATAATCACGTAAAAATTCTTATTTTGAGAAGGCAACCATTCTTTTTAGAATTGAAAAAAAATGTATACAAGTGCGTTTTAATTTTTCAGCTTCAAGGGTAATTTTTGAAAAATTTAGTTTCAAAATTCAATAAAAAATTGAGAGATGAGATAAAGTTACCTTTTTGGGCTTTCCCACTTTAACAAATGAGAGGTAAAGTTTACCCAAATTTCAAGTGAGGAGCACAAGGGATTGAAGGCAATTGTTAATTTGACTGCTCCTAGCATTTTTCATGCTTATATATTTCATTAAATTTATTATTTATTTATTTAAAAATCATTTTATTAGCATATACTAAAATATACGAGAGAATATATAAATATTTTTAAAAACTAAAAACCATTCAAATAAAAAAAAATATTACCCTTCCTGCAACGAGCAAATTTCAAAAAGGAAAATTAAAAAAAAAAAAAAAAAAAAAACCTCACTCTTGGGGCAGATGACCTAACAAAATGCAGCAAAAAAATTCTCGGCCTAATACCAAAATAGTAGACCAAAGCAACTAGCAAGTTCCATACAAGCAACTCAAAGCCAATAGCAATTTTGGCATATAAAGGATCAACTATATAGACTACCAGCATCTTTCCTCCGCTGATAAACGAAAGCTTCAGAAGTCAACCAAACTGAACTCACATAGACACGACTGAATAATGTAGACTTAAGATTACCCAAATCAGAAGCACTTTCGGTGAACAATGGCAGGACCCGATTCATCATACTCACCCTTGGAAATCCACATCTGCGGCATTGAAAAGCAGAAAATAAGCAAAGAAAGTGAATTACATTCAATCGCAGTGCAACTCCTCACAAGGGATATACTTGGAAAATTGGAAGTCCAAGAACAAAAGTTACCTGTTGGAAGGTGCTTAGAGATGCTAAAATGGATCCTCCAATCCAGACACTGTATTTTCTCTCAGGAGGTGCAACAACCTTGATCTTCATGCTGCTAGGTGCTAGAGCAGTGATTTCCTTGCTCATCCTATCAGCGATACCAGGGAACATGGTTGATCCACCGCTAAGCACAATGTTTCCGTACAGATCCTTCCTGATATCAACGTCACACTTCATGATGGAGTTGTAAGTAGTTTCATGGATGCCAGCAGATTCCATTCCAATCAGAGATGGTTGGAAGAGTACTTCGGGGCAACGGAACCTCTCAGCTCCAATTGTAATCACTTGCCCATCAGGCAATTCATAACTCTTTTCAATAGCAGAGCTACTCTTGGCAGTCTCCAATTCTTGCTCATAATCAAGAGCAACATAAGCAAGTTTTTCTTTCATATCACGAACAATTTCTCGCTCTGCAGTTGTTGTGAAAGAGTACCCTCTCTCGGTTAAGATCTTCATCAAGGAATCTGTAAGATCACGACCAGCAAGGTCTAACCGAAGAATAGCATGGGGGAGGGCATAGCCTTCATAAATTGGCACCGTGTGGCTCACACCATCACCAGAATCCAAGACAATACCTATTCAAATATATGAGAATAGAGTTAAATTAACAAAATGACAGCAATAGAGAAACGACAAGTGACTGTAAAGCTAAAGTTATTTCACAGTCACTTGACTCTAGAATATAACCAAAACCAGTTACCCAATCCATTAAATGATACCTGTTGTACGACCACTAGCGTAAAGTGAAAGAACTGCCTGAATAGCAACATACATAGCAGGCACATCGAATGTTTCAAACATAATCTGGGTCATCTTCTCTCTGTTAGCCTTAGGGTTTAGTGGTGCTTCCGTAAGAAGTACTGGATGTTCTTCAGGAGCAACACGAAGCTCATTGTAGAAAGTATGGTGCCAAATCTTCTCCATATCATCCCAATTGCTGACAATGCCATGTTCTATAGGGTATTTTAAGGTAAGGATACCTCTCTTTGACTGGGCTTCATCACCTACATAAGCATCCTTTTGACCCATCCCAACCATGACACCTGTGTGGCGTGGGCGACCAACAATACTAGGGAACACTGCCCTGGGGGCATCATCACCAGCAAATCCAGCCTGCAAATACAAGAATAAAGCAGGCATCAGCATTTGTGTAGTTATAACAAACAATTAACAAAACACATGCCTAGAAATTCTATAGCATCAAAAGGTAAAACCAAGCCAGTACGTGACAGAAAATAGAACCATTTTCAAATTGTCATTAACTCATTATGATAATTGTCTTCATAAAAAACTTGTAATCCAATGTCTAAAGATTTCATAGTAAGAAAATAAAACAAGCTAGTACATGACAGAAAATTGAATCATTGTCAAATTGTCATTCTGATAATTGTCTTTGTAAAAAAACTTGAAATTCAATATCATAGTAAGAAAATAAACCAAAATAAAGCAGGCATCAGCATTTGTGTAGTTATAACAAACAATTAACAAAACACATGCCTAGAAATTCTATAGCATCAAAAGGTAAAACCAAGCCAGTACGTGACAGAAAATAGAACCATTTTCAAATTGTCATTAACTCATTATGATAATTGTCTTCATAAAAAACTTGTAATCCAATGTCTACAGATTTCATAGTAAGAAAATAAAACAAGCTAGTACATGACAGAAAATTGAATCATTGTCAAATTGTCATTCTGATAATTGTCTTTGTAAAAAAACTTGAAATTAAATATCATAGTAAGAAAATAAACCAAACCTATAAACATCAAAAAGATAATTTACTCACCTTGACCATTCCAGTTCCATTGTCACAGACAAGAGGTTGAATATCCTCATCCGCCATCTCTTACTAACCTGATCAAGGAAACGGGATTATTGTTAGATGAAAATTTTTGCCAAGAAACCAAAAGTTGAAGTCAGAAAAAAAAAACATTTTTTTATCTGATTTAACCATTATTAAGATCAACCCCGTATAAAAACTAGTATCAAACTCAATAACATATTTCTTGCATTATTAGAGTATTTTAACTCCTCCCACTTTATAACTTTGTTTCTGGAGACGGAGAGCAAAGAGAGGGGGAGCCTGTATGTTATCTATTTATCTGCATAAAGCACTACTCAAATGCAGTTCATATTCAGTATTATTTCTATTTGTTCATTACTTTTACTCTTCATGGCTGGTTAATTCCTAAAATCATAAAGGCCCAATAAAAATTAGAACCAGCCATCAAACAAGAACTCAATTTCTGATAATAAGAAATTGAAACTACACAAGAATTAAACACATATTAGACCATAATCTACTAACAAGCATATAGCAAATTCTACAGAATCTGATGATCTCAAGAAAACACCAATCCAAACTTGATCAAGATCTAGATGAATTGGAAATGGATATCAACTTGAGGCATGAGGAAATCACAATAAATTTCAAATTTTGCAAGCATAAAACTATAATAAGAAAGCCTAGCAGACATCAAAACAATAGATCTATTAAACCAAAAATTTAGACAGATCTAAATCACAAAACATAAATAAAGTTGACAACTTGACACCGATAGTCCTTCAGAGAAAAAAAAAAGGGGGGGGATACGATTAGATATTTAAACATAATCAAGCAAAGATAACAAAGTTACAGATCAAAAGCAAACAAGAAGCAGATAAAAAGCACAACTTGTTTAAGCAAAAACGCTGAAGCTTCTCTGTGCCTTTCGAAATGAGGGAGAATGACAATTTTTTCACAGTGAAGCTGAAACTATAATCATAGAGGAGCAATGTTAGCTGAGGTTTTTATATATAGAAGAAATGAGAGTGAAATGCAAATGAAATTAAACCCAAACTCAGTTAAGCCCTGTTTGGCTGCGGAGAAAAATAAAAATAAAATAAAATATTGTAAAAAGGTTTTCTTCGGTGTGGAAAAGAAAAGAAAAGGGTTTGGGAAAAGCAATCTTCTTACACATGATGTGTTTGGCTGGATTTTCTATTCCAAACAAAGCGTTATGTAGCCGACCAAAATCCAAATGGAGTCTCTTCAGATTTTAGTCAGGTGATGATGTGGACGTTCGTAAGACTAAATGGGGTTGATACCACGTCAGCAGGGCGGCTGAAGTTAGGGTGGGCGGCCCGATGCCGACCCCGATGCCGACCATTTCTTGGCATGTCTGGTTGAAGATTGGTTGGCAGTGGCCCCCACTCTGCCCCACTCGCTCACTTTTTGCATTACAATTGTAATTAGGCTTAGTCTGATTGGAATTTTCTTTACTTTTCTTCTAATTCTTTTTCAATTTAATTGAATTCTTTGCCTAACAAAATGGGTTTCCTTTTTTTTTAATCTGGTTTTATAAATTAGAATAATTTTTTTGGTTAATTTCACTTGTATTTGTTATTTTAATTACCGAGGAAATTAACATTTGAATGAACAAATCAAGTATTATAATGTACTATTACTATGATGGTCACTAATAGGAGTGTAATCGAATCAATATAGTGAAAAGTTTCAACTCAAGTTTGATTTTTAATTCGTGACTTGATATTCGATTCGAACTTGCTCGAATTTTATTTTTTTAGTTTAAATTCGATTCGTGATCGAAATCGAACTATTCGAGTTTACTCGATTAAGTTCAATTAATATATAAAAATAATATTATTTTTTATACTCGATAAAAGCTCGATTATTTATGCTTGAACTCGAACTCGATATCTTTTACAATTATTTTTATCAAACCTAATAAATATTATATTTTCAAGATAATAACAATAATAATAATAATAACAATAACAACAACAACAATAATAATAAAAACTTACACAACAAATAAATCAAAGCAAATAAAAGTTTCATCAAATGATTCAAATAAAACACACAAATAAAAGACATAATGAAATTTAGAAATTAAATTCCTAATTGAAATAAATTAAATATCCAAGTAAATAAGTCCACAAATAAGTTATAACAAACTAACAATAATACATATACTGTCGTCACAATATTATATCTTCACAATATAATGTCTTCAAATGAACATTGGACTTATATTGTTTTTCAACAAACCTACACAAAAAGAATAATTACATAATAAACAAATTATAATTAATAATAAGAAAAATAGTAGAAGCACCCATGTAAAAAAAAAAGATTGTGATATTATTACAATGATCAATAACTTTAAATTTTTAACATTAGCATCAACATGAATTTTATCTTGTCAATTACCTTATAATCAAAGCAAAAAAATATAGACAGTGTCTTGTAAATTACCCATTGTGATATTATTACAATGATCAATAACTTTAAATTTTTAACATTAGCATCAACATGAATTTTATCTTGTCAATTACCTTATAATCAAAGCAAAAAAATATAGACAGTGTCTTGTAAATTACCCTAACATGAGTTTTTGTCATTAGTTAATCTATGGTTTATAAACTATAATGCAAAAAGCTCAATCTAAACTAGCTACCACCTATTTTTCTTTAGTAATGTTGTGACAAATTAAGGGTATTTAATAATAATATTTCATACATATATAAAAGATATTAGATATCCTCACTTTAGGGGATTTTGAGTGTAATCTCAATTGATTTCTTCTCTTTCTATATAGATAAAGTAAATAAAAATAATAGTTAAAAATTACATTAAAGCAATAATAGTCACCCAATAACAAAATAATAATAATAAAAATTTCACTTTGCTCTTCTTCTTCACTCCATGAAGATTTCGATACCATTTTCTTTCACAAAGTAATGCTTGCACTGTGTCAGGAGCTAAAGAAGCACGATAAGTATTAATAACTCAACCTATTGCATTAAAAGTAGCCTCTGAAATCATTGTAATTATAAGAATAGCAAATATATCCCGAGCCATCTTGGATAAAATATAGTACTTCAAAGTGCTTACTTTTCACCATTCTAAAGCATCAAACTTATTGGAATCTCTTTTACAGATAAAACAGCCCTTAGCTAGATAGACATCTAGATCATATTGTTGTGGTTGAACAGTTTCAATTGATTTTACATAATTTGTAAATTCAGACCAACTAGAAGAATAATCTTGTATATTCATACCACTAATACTACTATCATGTATTTAAGTTTCAGCACTATGCTTATTATCAAATTGATACTTGCAAACATATTCCTCATAAATTTCATAAAAAGCATCTTAAACTCTAGCAATTTTTAATTTTTTTTTTGCTTCTTTATTAGGGTACATTCGAGGAAAGTAAAATTCAATCACCCTCATTTGCACCTTAGATCCAAGATAGCTATTATAGCCATTAACAAATTACATTCTCCTTAATACTTATCAAATTTACTCTTAATCTTGCGAACCATTGCTTGAACAAATTCATTTTCATCATTCACCCTTTTATCCAACAATACTTTCACATGATAAACTTCATTCAGAAATAGGTTTAAAGTTGGATAATCACTTCCAGAGATGATTTTAGTGGTTGAATTAAAAACTTTTAAAATCTTACAAACTTTCTCTACTTTTTTTCAATTTTCATGACTTAGACAATATTTGTAATGAGATTCTCGTTCTTTAAGTATTGAAAACACTTCTTTGAATTTGATTGCAATCAACAACATCTCGAATGTTGAATTTCAACGTGTTTTACAATCAAGAATGAGTTTTCTATCAGGTAATTTTAACTATTGTACTATGTTAAAAAATTAGTTAAGTCTTGCCTCATTCTGATTAATAAAACTGACACTTTTATGAACATCACCAATCACATTCTTAATCTCAAAAAAATCATCTTAAACCATGAGATTTAATATGTGTGCACAATACCGAACATGAAATAATTTTTCTTCACAAAACAACTTCTTATTTCCTGAAAATGTGTCTTTAAGAATTCTAATCACCACATCATTACTTGAAGCATTGTCCACAGAAAGTATAAACACCTTGTTTTTAATTCTTCATTTTTTTAGACACTTAAAAATATAATCGACAATCTCAACACCGCGATAAGGAGGAGAAATGTAAACAAAGCTAATAACAAGCTTTTTATAAAAGTGTACTGTAAGAACCATGCACTCAATCTTTTGATTACTTGATTTTCACAAATCTATTATCAAACTAATCTTGCTGACAGTCTTCAATAGTGTCTTTAATTTTTTCTTTTCTGCATCATAAACTTGCATGCAATCCTTTTTAATAGTATTACATGATATCTTTTTTCATTTAGGCATCTCACGTTTTTGCATCATGTTAAAACATTCATCTTTTATAATCGAAAAAAGGATGTTCATGCATAAATATCCAATGTGCAACTACTACTCTCATATTAGCCATATCAAACTTGCCATTTTTTAGAGTCTGTAGTATCTGTACATCACCACATTTGTCTATTGGCTAGAAGTTGATCATCTGTTGTTGATTCTAAAAATTTTTTTACTTAACATAAGTTTTCAAGTGCCTTTTAAATTGAGTTATACTTTTACTTGCATTTGTTGCTAGCTTCTTCTTGCAATTAACACACTCTCATTTTTTATAACCATAAGAAAGAATGACTTATTTGAACTCTAACCAAACAGCAAATGTCTTTTGTCTTTTTTTCTCATTACCTTCTTCACACTCTTCAGGGTCAGCATCATCACATTCTCTATCATTAACATCAGTGACTTGTGTTTTATCTGTGTTACCATCAGTGACATCTAAAGTTTCATTCATTGAATCATTACCATCATCTGACATAATTCGACTAGCAAAAGAATTTGTTGTCGGTTGAACTGGTATAAAGAAGATATTTGGTGTGGTTGATGACATGTTTAATTCTCTATAATAAAAAAAAGATAAATCAAAACAATAATTCAATTTTGGGATCAAATAATAATGCCAAATAAGTTGTTAGAAACATGTGTAGTAAATTCTTTTGCGAGAAACATGCCAAACAAATTACGAGAAATAAGTTATTGGAAGAGTATGAAATTTAGCAATAAATGATAACCATCTATGAGAATTACAAGCAATATACATAGTCTTTGCCATATATGATAATTGATTAAGGATTAAAATGTAGTGGGGTGGCAGTAACTATGTAAATAAATAAAATCTAAATTGATCCTACACATGCAGTAACTAAAACAATTGATCAATTTTTGCTTTTTCATATATCTAGAATGCAAAACTATGTAAGTAAATAAAATCTAAATTCATTCTACACATGCAACAACTAAAATCTCAAATGCTTTAACACTCTTTATTAACATATATAATTTTTTGAATGATTAAAATTTTTTGTATAAGACAGAAACATGTATATGCTTAAAAAATGAATAAATCTGAGATTAAATTCTAATGAGATAACACCTCTAAACCTTTTTGGTATCTTTTGATTCCAACTTCTTTTATAATAAAATAAAATAAAAAATAAAATAAAATTCTAGCTAACTAGGATGCTAATCAAACTCTCTGACTATAAAATGCAAAGATAAACCTCCCCATCTAAAGCTAGCTAGCTTGATGTATTCTGTTTTGTTGTAATCAAAATATTTTCTCAAAATACTTGAAAATATATTGAAGAATTTTTTAACTTTTTATTATTTTAACAGTTATTACTTCATAGAGTTATATATATAAGGGGTTAATTTAGATAAAATTTTATTCTTCCAAGTTTAAGTAGCTATAATAATTAAGCCAGTTATGATGGTAGAACAAAGAGTCAAAGATTATATAGTATACTTTGTTTTGTTTTTAAAATAGATTATATATCTAACAATTTTAAAATTCAAATTTTAATGCATATAATTTTTTATTTTTAAATTTACAATATTTTTATTAAAAAAATAATTTTATAAACTACAACATAAGAATAAAAGAATTAAATTCACTGATGTTTTCTCTGAAATTCCCCTTTCAAAAGGAATTTGAAAATTATGAAAGAGGAAGCAAAATTTGTTTCTTCTAAAACTATCTTTTTTTTTTCACAAAGCATATAATTTGTTTCTTCTAGGATCACTCTTTAATTATATGACAAATTAGGCATAAGAAAAGCAGCACAAAAAAAGGTAGCACACATAAAGGCATTTACTATGCAGAAAGGTAGCACACAGTAACCTGCTTACTATATAGAAATGCAGCATGCAGTAACTTGATTACTATGTAGAAAAGCAGCACACAACAACCTATTTACTATGCAAAAAGGCAACATGTGATAGCCTATTTACTATGCGAAAAGGTAGCACACAGCACTGTAACAGCTTGCTTACTATGCAGAGCCTTGATTTGTCTTGGATTTGAGTTGGTTTTGGTCTAAGCTAGCTTTAAAAATATTGGAAGAGAGTGGGATTCAGGAGGAAAGGGCACCGTAAGGGTTTTTTGGTGAGATAAGAGAGACAGGAGAAAGATGGAAAAAAGAAAATAAAATTTTAAGGTTTTTTAGATTAAGGATAAAATAGTAATTTTATAAATAAAATAATAAAAAAATATATAATAGAAAAGCTATATTAAGCTTGCGAGCTATTCGAGTCAGGTATTAATATGCTCGAATTCGGCTTGTTCGATAAGTCTAGCTACTCGAGCTCAAACTCGATTTGACAATTATTGAATCAAATTTGAATTTTAATCGAATCAAATCCAAATAGCTTGCGAATACTAATGTATCATTTATACCCTTAACCACTAAAATGAATATGTTGAATGGAGCTAAAATTCAATGTTAATAAAATAATTACTACAACTAACGTATTAATTGAATTGATAAAAATTAAATATTTTATTTATAAAATTTAAATTTAATTTTAATCGTCATTCATTAATTTTTATAAATTACTTATAAATTCAATATAAATTTTATTAAAACTAATAACGCACTTGATCTTTGAAAGAAATAACATTTGATCGTCTAAATTTTTTTTAGCCAAAGTATAGATTTACTAATTTAACTTGACATATTAAGTGACATTAAAAAAATTGAACATGTTAATTAAGATTTGATTCGATAACTATATATATAGGATTTATGGTAACAGTTACAACAATAAGAAAATAAATTTTTATTATAAATTACAATCATAATTAAGTATTAAAATAATCAATTATTATATCATAATTAAGTTACAATCATAATAATTAATGAATAAACTAAATCAAAAATTTTAAAAAATTTTTATCACCAAATCAAAATTTTATTGACAAAAAAAATATTTTAAGTTTATAATCTTTGCTAAAAAATAATATTAACATGATCTCATGTTATAAAAATGAGTGATAATTCTACTCAAATTTAATAGTGTGTTTGGATTGAGGGGAGAGAAAAGAAAATAAAGGAAAGTAAAAGAAACAAAACTTCCATTCCCTTGTGTGGATAAACTTTTAATTTAAAGAAAGGAAAAAAGTTGGAAAACCAAATAACTTTTAGTTTATTTTGTAAACCAAATTTTTTTAATACTCTAATTTGAAGGAAAAGTTAGGGAAAGGAAAGTTGAAAAATATCTTTTTATAAAAAGATTATTATGTCCATCTTTTTATTAATACTAAAAATCTAATAAAAAAATTTAAGTAGATCATAATCATCCTATAATTTTTTCAAAGCTATCTTTTTTTCAAGTAAGTTTCACATATTTTTTTCAACATAATTTTTTTTATAATTTTTTTGTGATTTAATTTTGATAAATGGTTGAATATGAATAGATATATTTTATGGGTTTATGAGATGACCGACTAACTCAAAATCCATCAATGTATGTTTGTAAAATATCTTTCTATTTCAATTGATTAAAAATTATTGATATAACAACAATTATGAGGTCAGATAAGATATCAAGCATATCATGATTTAAGAATACTATAAAATCACAGATAATGAAATGTTATAATTAAAAAAAATTATTATAATGAATCTTTTCTTTTTTATTCTTTATCAAAACAATGGTTGTTAAAATTTATTTTCTTTTATTTTTTATTAATTTTAATTATCTAAACAAAGTTTACATGTATTATTATTATTTTAAATTTTTTTATTTTTTTATTAATATTTATTCAAACATAACGTAAAGGATAATATAAAAAAAGTTATCTTAAAAATTATCAAATAAAAAAATAAAATAAATTATAAAAATGAAACTATTTCAATAAATTTAATGCATTCAGATTTTAAGACAATTCACGTGTCGTGTAAGATTAAAATTCTATAGGATATTATTAAGTTGTGATGAAATCATGTTGTTAGGATTTTTTTTTGTATTATTTAAATCAAACATGCTTTAGTGCCTGAGAATTTAACATAATCAATTCAACGTATTTCTTTTTCATGGGAGAAAAAAAAGGATATTAATTCATATGGGAACTGTGAGAGAAGGAATCAAATATTGTTTTAGCTGACCAATTATATGTCTAAGCAACCCAATGACCAAGCAGCAAACCAAATTTGATTTTGGAAAATCTCGAAACAACAACTCTTGGGAAAATCCTAATTGTTGTATCCAGCAACTATTACGAATCAAATGTTAAAACAAAAAAAATAATAAAAATAAATATTTAATCTCTATTACTTGTTCCAGTCTTCAATATCGAAGCCACCCCAGTCAAACATCTGGTGCATATTTTGCCTTTAAGATATGTACAATCTCATTAATTTCAATCTTAATGCACATTTTTTTAAATACAATTATTATGTTTGGACTGTTAAAAAAAAAAAATTGAAGGACGTGCAAACCGATTAAATTGTTAATAGCTTTCCAGTGGGCCAGTCCTTTTTTGTGGTGGCCTGATCCAGTTCTAAGTTTGGCGGGTAATTTTCTAGCCCGGTGAACAATACTTACGGACTATTTAGTTGATTGGAAAAGCCCAAATCTTCTGGCCCGACAGGTACTTCGGCCAAATAAGCGTAATACGCACCCGGCGCACTTTAAACACCCAAGTTAGCTCACTTTTATACTCTCATTCTCCGGTTAGGTCAAGCCGTAGCTGAAATTTAGTGCTGCTCTCTGAAGGTACTCTCGATTTTTATTTTAATTTCGTTTTCTTTTCTGTTAGCACCAATTATCTTTTTATCTTATTTCATGTTTATGGATCTATTTTTGTTTTTCAATGATCAGGAAATTTTCCTTCAATCATTTTCTTGATCTGTAAATCTAGGGTTTTGTGTTTAGTAGATTTCATCTTTGTTTTTTTTTTTTTTCAATTTCAATGTTTCATTTCCTGTTTGGGGGTTTGGAAAGTTACTGAATTGCTGACTTTCTGCTTTTTAGATCGTTGACTTTGTAATTTATTTATTTTTTCTTAGGTGTGCTAGTCAGGTTATCGAATTCCATCCTTATCTATACGAAGTAATCGATATCGTTTCCTATGTAAGCTTATCTTTTTCTCATGTATTTTCCTTGATAAACATGTGTCTTATATCTGTTCGATCATGTGGTCGTAAGTCGGTAAGTGGACTCCGTTTGATGAATGATAATATATATTGTTTTACATAGAAGTTTATGATCATGTGGCGGGTTAAAAATTTTGTTTGTTGTTGTACATAATTTTATTAGACATTTCTATATTGGTTTTGTGATCTGTTATATCTATATTGGTTATAGGAAAAGATAATAAGTCTGGGCGTGAAGCTTCTATTGGTGCATTAGCATATATGAGTTGTGATTCAAGTATGATTTTGTGGTGTGGGGGTTGTTTGTACGGGGCAACATTGATGCTGCAATAGATAGAACGATCGTAAGGTTTTTGGTTATTCTGACGGAATGATTTCAAATGGTACCAGATTGAATTAAACAAGCAATTCCTTCTTTAATCTAACCGATTTGATAAGCAGTGGGCAGGGCATGTGATAAGGAGGGGTCCTGGAAAAAATAGGCAAAGAAATGAATTTCAGTGCTCAAACATCAAAATGGTTATTTTTTATCATCTAATATCTGTGGATATTAAGGTCAATTGTCGGATATATTCTGAAAATAGTAGTTCCTTATAATTGTTTCAGTTTTCGTCATTTTGGTTGTAGTTGATAGTTGCTTCTTAATTACATTTTATTGATCTGTAAAAATAGTGATGTTATTTTTCCTCCAATTTGTGACTGCCTTTCAGTACCATGCCCTTATCTCAGTTATTTATCTTTTAAAAATATTTTAGGGCGGACGAGGAACCTGTTGATCAAAAGAGGCTTCTTGAAGAGGGTTGCAAGCCTAAATGTGTCAAACAACTTCATTTGTATGAGGTTAGTAATAAACTAGTTCTTTTGGAAATTTGAGCAAGGCTTACTGAATCTTTTTTTACCATTCTTTCAAGTATATGAGTTTGATAATTGCTTTTAGAAACATAAACTCGTGCGGTTTTTTTATTATTATTGGAATTTTAATCTTTTTATTTCTCTTTCTTTTGGATAGTTTATTTCCAGTTTTTATTAATTATTATAGTGTGTTTGTTAGGGGATTGCTTAGCGTTTTTAGTCTGTTATTTACTTTTTCAAAGAATCACTACCCCAAATTGTTTTCTTTGGGTTATATCTGTATTTTGAGTTACTTGTATGGCCCTGTGGTACTTTATGGATTATTTTCAGTTTGGAGACTATAGTTTTATTTAATGAATCTCTTTAAGTGAAATTTATATTCCTTTTCTAACTCCCTTGATGCCAACAAACCTTTCCTCCAATACCATCTCATATGCTACTTTGCACCTGATTATTATTGTTAGGCTGTTTGCATAAATGTATCTCAGTTTGGGAGCATCCCATAAAAAGGCTTATTTATTCATTTATTCATTTATTTTAACTCTGCCTTTCTATCTTTTTCATCTTTTATTATTATTATTATTTTTTGAAATTTTGTGGCTATATGGACAAATGCTTTCTTAAAGGAAAAGTAAAGGCAGAAGAATCTTCCTTCTCAACAGTTGATGATTCTCTATGGATTGATTGCATGCTCCACCCTCTTTGAAACCCCAGTATGACGTCATGAAAAAGGTCTTGGCCAGAACTAGTTATTGAGGATATATGTGAGTCTTTGTAATGCAAGTTGTTTCTTCTACTGACCCAGACCCTGCTCCATATTTCACTAAAAACTTGATTAAAACAAAATCTGACAACAACATACATTGCTTGATGAAAATGATAGGTTTCACTAACATATATATTCACTCTCTAAGGGGTTTGCCAGTATTTTACTGAATCATCGATTTACTTATCTTTTCTTGAAACTTATTAATGGTTCTAAAATGCTCAAATTTATATTCTGACATGGTGTCATGTTGTGAAAATTTTGTTTGTTGCCCTAAATATTTGGTATTCTTGTTTATAGCACTCCTCTGCTTGATTTGAATTTGAATTTGAATTGTGTGGCAACCAATAAGTTACTGCTTACCTGCAGGCATGTGTTAAGAGAATCCAAGGTGATGAAAGTGGCCACAAGCATTGCACTGGTCAATATTTTGATTATTGGTCTTGTATTGATAAATGTGTAAGTAGTTTTATTTGCTTAGCCTCATTTTGGTTATATTCTGTAACTGGTCCTGATACCAACTTGGCGGAATGCAGGTTGCACCATCGCTATTCTCGAAACTGAAATAACCAGGGCCAACGTTGTTTAAGTTAACATTACCATCACGTCCTGCTGTTTTGATTTCGAAAGCTAGTGATTGTTTCGGAAATTATTGATCTTGTATTGTGAGCTTGAGATGCCTTCGTGGCTTGTCTGAGAACTGTTAAAATTTTTTTTGTGTTACCGTGGAAAAGTTTAATGATTATCAATAAATTTGAATCCTTGGAGACATGCCTGACTATGGGCTGGTCAGAAGTGCCATATTGGAATGACAGCAATAATTTGAATATAAACTGTGTTGATGTTACCTGCATAAATATTCATGTGTAGCTTTTAAATTAGGTATTTAAATTGTTTTTTTTCAAAGGTTGCATATATAATTGGGGTCTAAAAGAAGAGATTTGAATTTGAAAGTTAGTATAAATTGTGTGAGAAAAACATGTAAATATGATCGACATAATTAATCTAAAGTAAAGAGTTTGATTTTTATTTAGTGCAAGTTTCGTTCTCACAATTTATCTGTATTTAGGTCCTGGACAAAAAAATCAATTTGTTCCCGATAACTGTATACCTGTTCATGGGCAGGGAGAGTAGGCTCTTGGGCCTGGCTTGATTTGGGCTGGGTTCCAGCGAAGATGTTTATAATTAATTTTTTTTTAGTTCTTAATTTATTTGTGTTTTTTTATTTCTTAGAAGTTTTTAATATATCCTTAAACTTCTTGCCGTGACTAAATTCTTTCGAATTCATAATTTTCGAGTATGAATTGTAATGACATATCAATTAATCAAATAATTGTCGGTAGATGATTTGTATATATGTTTCATTTAAATATTAAAATTTATGTATTTATATAATATTTTATATAAAAATTATATGTAATAATTCATATAAAAATGAAAATACGAAATATTTTTTTATTTTATTTAATTCAAAAATAATTATTACTAAAATTTTAATTCATGCCACTTTTTTTTGTTTGTGTCATAAAATTATATCATATTTTAAATAATAAGATCTATTAAATTATAATATTAAAATTTGTGTATTTACATAATATTTTATACGAAAATTATATGTCATAATTTATATTGAAATGAAAATATAAAATATTTTTTATTTTGTTAAATTTATATATAATTATTATTAAAATTTTAAATCGTGTCACTTTTTTTTTTTTGCATTGTATTTATGTCATATAATTGTATCAAATTTTAAATGATAAGATCTATTAAATTATAAGATTTTTTTTTGGGGAGAGGGGCACTAAACTGTAAGAATTGTTAGCATTGCAGATAAAAAAATCATTAATCTCAACCAATTAATAACAAATTTAGTGAAAATCTGAGAACTGCTCCATTAACTAGGGGAAGACTTGAGTTCCAGCAACATCTAGGGGAAAAATAACTGAATAAAGAATAAATCAATCTGTTGCTTGTCATGGAAAAACTCAAAATAAACTTTTATATAGTGTCCATCCCTTTCCGAGTGTGAAAGCATTAGATTCCTCTTGTTATAATCTAAATTCTACAGTCGAAATGTGCTTATAAAAAAGGGCGTGTGCCGTCCACACTCCATATGCAATAACCATACATTCCCCTTACATTTTCCTCCTATACCATGCCAGCCCTAGAACTTGATCAGGAGATCAGATCTGAAAACTTCAAAAACAATAGTAGTATTGAAGCTGCAGCAACAAATGAAGAGCATAAAGCTGAGGTTTTTGATTATGCCAAGAGGGCACAGTGGCTTCGAGCTGCTGTTTTAGGAGCCAATGATGGGCTGCTCTCTACGGCTTCTTTGATGATGGGAGTTGGTGCTGTACGTAAAGACTCCAAGACCATGGTCCTTACAGGGATCGCTGGTTTGGTTGCTGGTGCTTGTAGCATGGCAATTGGTGAGTTGGTCTCAGTTTACTCACAATGTGACATTGAATTGACTCAAATGAAGAGAGAAAACATGGCAAAAAATTTTGCCGATCATGACTTCGACACCAAGAAACAAAGTTTGCCTAATCCCTGGCAAGCAGCTGGCGCATCTGCGCTTGCTTTTGCTGTTGGGGCTGTCATACCGTTAGTTGCTGCTGTGTTCATAAATGTTTACGTGGTGAGGTTAGTGGTGGTGGTGGCTGTTGCGAGCTTAGCCCTGTTAGCTTTTGGTGCGTTGGGAGCCCTTTTGGGGGGTGCACCAATGTTGAAGGCGTCGTTAAGGGTGCTGGTCGGAGGATGGCTAGCCATGGGAATAACTTTTGGCGTCACCAAGTTGATTGGTCGTTCAGGACTCTAATCCATCTTCTATATTTTTAATATATACCTTTTTCCTACATGTTTTTTTCATTTTGCTTTTCATAGTTATGAGTCTATCCAAGGATTCAACATCTACTCCTCCATCTATATGCGGATCTTGACATATAATTTGAGGGGATCAATTAATAATACTCCTAATATTTTAAATTATTTGAGTAGTATTGATTTTCACGAAGTTTAAGAAAGTTTTTAATTTTAATATATTTAATATTAAAATTAAATTTTTTTTTTAAAATTAAAATTTCATGACTTTTAATATCAAAAATTAAAAAAATCATAAAAAATAATTTTAAAATATAAAAAAAAAGTTTTAGATGATAACAAAATAATTTTGGGGCATCTCAAAAAGGAAAAATGAAAAAAATGTGACAGCAAGAGTATATAATATATTTTATCTCATTTTTTTTAGATGTTTTTTATCATACTATTAATACATATATATATACACACACACACAAACAATATACTAATAAAAACATGATAAGCTTATAAAATTATAAAATAAAAATATTATTATGACAACATTATTCTTTTAACAATAACATGATTTATAATTAATCGTAAAATTACTAATTACACAATCTGTCAATAAATTATGAGATTTTTTTATTTTTTGACAATTTAAAATTGAAATAAAAAAGAAATATGAATAAATACTCATTTAACATTTTATCAAAACAAGAAAATAAATATATTTTTAAAAAATGGAGATGAAAATTTGAGACTAAAAGTTATAATGTTTTTCTATTCTTTTGTAAACTAGTTTCAATATGATTTTTTTTTTGTTGGAAAAAGAATTTTAACACTTGATAGAAATTTAAAGTAAAAATAAAAGTAAAAAATGATATTGAGAGAAGTTGTAGTAAGCTAAATCTCCCTTTCTCTAAATCTTCTAAACTTTGACATCTCTTATACCAAAAAAATATATACTTGATGCTTAGTTGAATACTCGAATCTTGTTGAGAAAGTTGGAAAGTTAATTTGATTTTTGTTAATTTCATTTATTGTAATTTAAAATTTATGACAAATCTCTTAATTTTAAGAATTTGCAAATAATAACTGTTGGATGCAACAAATGAACAAATATCATTACGATTTGAATATTTTTTAAATTGCAATATATAAAATTAAATTATAAAACACAAGAAAAAGAAAATTAATATTTTTAATTTATAAGGTCAATTTATATATATATATATATATAAATATATATGCGCTAAAGGCTGTTTCAAAATTTTGGAAAAGGCCAAAGTCCCCTCAGGTTCTCATTACCAACCGCCCATGTCTCCATCCCATATATAAGTGTCTTGTTTGTCTATCATTAGTTGTTTCAAACAGTATGTCTTGTTTGAAAAGTTAAATAAAAATCAAATTTACTTTTATGTTATTACTCTTAATTATACCTGCAAACACTTTTTTTTTTGCAAAATAAAGATAATTCAAAAAAATTATAAATCAATGAAAATAAAAATTCAACTCAAAATTTTTAAATATTATGCAAAATCAAAATGAAACAAAATACACGAGACGGAAAAAACTACATATTAAAAAATAATTAAATATTGGTGTATTTTCCTATCAAACATATGCATACATAGAGGCTTTTGCCCTGTTTTTGCCAAACGAAAGAAACAACCCAATTACATACCAATATGCAATTTGATTTCCCAATCTCATGGCTGAAAAAGGGGGAATCCCATAGTAAAGATCTTAGGGTTTTTTTGTTTGTTTACTTACTATAGCAGCATGAAATAGGTTATTAAAACAAGTGTGTTTCACTCGTTCAGAAACACAATCTCCATAGTTGAGTTGGAACTAGATTAAAGACGATTGCATGAAGACAGATTTTGACCATAAATGGTTGTTACACAAACTGGTTTGATATTTTGATTGTGTCGAACCATTAGAAGAAGAAAAACAACTTCTCTAATTCCTCCCTTTTTTCCAATTGATAATAGTTTATAAAAGGGTGACGGCTAAATTTAGACGGCAAAGATGCCATTATTAGTTAATTATTTATTATTATTACTAGTTTGATGTGTAATTTGATTACGTTTTTTCGAAAAGTCGTGTCCCAATATAACTACTACTTATTTTAGTAACAAAATTTTCCATTAATCAAGGAGTTAAATCCTTTAGGTTAGTTTGGCTTTTGTTTTATATTTTTTTAAAATTTTTAATTTATCTTTAAAATCCATATCCTATTATTTATTTGACCAAAAATGATATTACGTATATAAGTTTTTTTAAACTTGTAAAAAATATTAATTTTAATAATACGTCAATTAAGATAAAAGTTAATCAATTATTTTTTTTAATACAATATAAAAAAACAAAAAAATACAAAATAAATTGATACTTAAAATCGAATGATAAAAAGCAAAAATCAATTGTTACAGTATTAGAACCGATTGTAAAATTAAAGTTTTTGAATTTTATTTTAAATATAATTCAAAATATTAAAAAAATCAAATGAAAACGAAACGAACTTGAATTCTTTATGATGATTTAATGATTTCTTTTGTAGAAAGCATACAATAAAGAGTAGGACTTGTAGATTAATCAATGTAGGTAATGCTTGAAAAAGAAATGGAATAAAGGAACAAGGCATGAGAGGAATTGCAACTTTTTTCAGTTATTAGTCATTACTTATTCTTTTGATAAAAGCAAGTTAAAAAAAATGGTGAAAGAGTGTTGCAGGAGAAGACTAATGGGAGAGAACAAAACAGAAAGCAACTGGAAATAATCCAAATTACAGATGACATTAATCTTAACAATTGCAAAAGATGAAGGATTATATGTTGGAATTACTAAACAAATGAAGCATCCAAAACGATCCAGTTTCATGTCAAGTTGTTGGTGGGCAATCGAGAATGAAATGAAACAGTCTATTACCCCATATATTCAGTTATTTACAGAATAAATAGGCTTTGAATTGAAATTTTTTTCATTGTTTTCACATTTCTAATGTTCACTTCTTTTTTTTTTTTCTCATAAAAAAATCACATCTTTTAAGTCCCAAAAAAGAATAAAAAACCATTAAAAACATATATAATAACATATATTTTTATTTATTTATTTATAATTGGACATGGTGTCATTTTGTGAAAATTCTGTTTCTCGTCCTAAATATTTGGTTTTCTTGTTTAGAGCACTCCTCTGCTACGATTTGAATTTGAATTTGAATTGTGTGGCAACCTATAAATTACTGCTTTCCTGCAGGCGTGTGTTAAGAGAATCCAAGGTGATTATGGTCTTCCATTTATAAATGCGTAAGTAGTTTTATTTGCTTAGCTGCATTTTGGTTATATTCTGTAACTTGTCCTGATACCAACTTGGCGGAATGCAGGTTGCACCATCGCTATTCTCGAAAGTGAAATAACCAGGGCCAATGTTGTTTAAGTTGACATTAGCATCACGTCCGGCTGTTTTGAGTTCGAAAGCCAGTGATTGTTTCAGAAACTATTGATCTTGTATTGTGAACTTGAGATGCCTTCGCGGCTTATCTGAGAACTGTAAAAATTTTTTTGTGTTACTGTGGAAACGTTTAATGATTTATCAATAAATTTGGATCCTTGGAGACATGACTATGGGCTGGTCAGAAGTGCCATAACGGAATGACAGCAATAATTTGAATATAAACTGTGTTGATGTTACCTGCATAACTATTCATGTGTAGCTTTAAATTAGGTATTTAAATTGGTTTTTTCAAAGGTTGCATATGATAATTTGGGTCTAAAAGAAGAGATTTGAATTTTAAAATTAGTATAAATTGTGTGAGAAAAACATGTAAATATGATCGACATAATTAATCTTAAAGTAAAGAGTTTGTCTAATTTTTGTTTAGTGTGAATTTCGTTCTCACAATAAACTAAAGTGTATGAATTGTTAGCATTGCAGATAAAAAAACCATTAATCTCAACCAGTTAATAACAAATTCAGTGAGAATCTTAGAACTGCTCCATTAACTAAGGGAAGACTTGAGTTCCAGCAACAACTGGTGCATCTGCGCTTGCTTTTGCTGTTGGGGCTGTCATACCATTAGTTTCTGCTTTGTTCATAAATGTTTACGTGGTGAGGTTGGTGGTGGTGCTGGCTGTTGCTAGCTTAGGCCTGTTAGCGTTTGGCGCGTTGGGAGCCCTTTTGGGGGGTGCACCCATGTTGAAGGCGTCGTTAAGGGTGCTGGTCGGAGGATGGCTTGCCATCGGAGTAACTTTTGGCCTCACCAAGTTGATTGGTCGTTCAGGACTCCAATCCATCTTCTATATTTAATATATACCTTTTTCCTACATGTTTTTTCTTTTTGCTTTTCATAGTTATGAATCTATCCAAGGATTCAACATCTACTCCTCCATTGATCTATATGCGGATCTAGAAATATAATTTGAGGAGATCAATTAATAATACTCCCTCTATTTTATATTGTTTGGGTAGTATCGACTTTCATGAAGTTTTAAAAAAAAAATTGATTTTAATGTATTTAATATTAAAATTAAAATTTTTTTATAAAATTAAAATTCCATGACTTTTAATATCAAGAAATTAAAAAAAAATCATAAAAAATAATTTTAAAATATGAAAAAAGAGTTTTAGATGATAAAAAAAATAATTTTAGGACATCTCAAAAAAAAAAAAAGAAAAAAATGTGACAGAGTGAGTATATATAATACACTTTATCTTATTTTTTCTTAGGCGTTTTTTATTATATTATTAATATATATGTATATACACACATAAATAATATATTAATAAAAACATGATAAGCTCATAAAATTATAAAACAAAAATATTATTATGACAACATTATTCTTTTAACAATAACATGATTTATAATTAATAGTAAAATTACTAATTACACAATCTTTAATAAATTATGAGATTTTTTATTTTTTGACAATTTAAAATTAAAATAAAAAGGAAGTATGAATAAATAATCATTTAACATTTTATAAAAAAAAAAAAACTAAAAATATTTTTAAAAAAATGGAGATGAAACTTTGAGACTAAAAGTTATAATGTTTTTTTATCCTTTTGTAAACTAGTTTCAATATGATTTTTTTTTTGTTGGAAAAAGAATTTTAACACTTGATAGAGATTTAAAGTAAAAATTAAAAGTAAAAAATGATATGAAAAGGAGTTGTAGTAAGCTAAATCTCCCTTTCTTTAAATCTCCTAAACTTTGACTTCTTTTGTACCAAAAAAATATATATTTGGTGCTTAGTTGAATACTTTAATTTTGTCGAGAAAGTTGAAAAATTAATTTGACCTTTGTTAAGTTCATGTGATTTAAAATTTGTGATAAATCTTTTGATTTTAAGAAATTGTAAATAATAATTATTGGATATAATAACTGAAAAAATATTAATACGATTTGGACATCTCTTAAATTACAATATCTAAAATTAAGTTATAAAACACAAAAAAAAAAATTTTAATTTAGAAGGTCAATTTAAATATATTTTATATGAATATATATACATGCTAAAGGGTGTTTAAAAATTTTGGAAAGGGCCAAAGTCCCCTCAGGTTCCTATTACCAACCGCCCATGTCTCCATCCCATATATAAGTGTCTTGTTTGTCTATCTTTAGTTGTTTCAAACAACATGTCTTGTTTGAAAAGTTAAATAAAAATCATTTTTACATTTATTTTATCACTCTTAATTATACCTACAAACACTCTTTTTTTTTTTTTTTTTCAAAATAAAGATAATTCAAAAAAATTATAAATCAATGAAAATCAAAATTCAACTCAAAATTTTTAAAATATTATGCAAAATCAAAATGAAACAAAATTATATTAACAAGCAATTAAATATTGATGTATTTCCTTCGTATGCATATAGAAGTTTTTGCCCTATTTTTCACCAAATGAAAGAAACAACCCAATTACATACCAAATATGCAATTTGATTCCCAATCTCATGGCTGAAAAAGGGGGATCCCATAGTAAAGATCTTAGGGTATTTTTGTTTGTTTACTTACTATAGCAGCATGAAATAGGTTATTAAACAAATGTGTTTCAGTCGTTCAGAAACACAATCTCCATTGTCGAGTTGGAACTAGATTAACGACGATTGTATGAAGACAGATTTTGACCATAAATGGTTGTTACACAAACTGGTTTGATATTATGATTGTGTCTAACCATTTGGAAGAAGAAAAACAACTTCTCTAATTCCTCCCTTTTTTCCAATTGATAATAGTTTATAAAAGGGTAACGGCTAAATTTAGACGGCAAAGATGCCATTATTAGTTAATTATTTATTATTATTACTAGTTTGATGTGTAATTACGTTTTTTCAAAAAGTCGTGTCCCAATATAACTACTACTTATTTTAATAACAATTTTTTTCCATTAATCAAGGAGTTAAATCCTTTAGGTTCGTTTGGTTTTTGTTTTTATTTTTTATTTTATTATTTATCTGATTGAAAATAATATTATGTTTATAAAATTTTTTAAACTTACAAAAAGTGAACTCTACTGATATGTTAATTGATTAAAGAATTAATTGGTAACTTTTTTGTTCTTTTATAGTAGAATTAATATAAAAACAAAAAATGTAAAATAAATTAATGCTTTAAAAAGAATGATAAATAGCAAAAATCAATTGATACAGCATTAGAATCGATTGTAAAATTAAGGTTTTTGAATTTTAATTTTAATTATAATTCAAAAGATTAAAAAAAATCAAATGAAACTAAATTAACTTGAATTCCTTTTGATGATTTACAGATTTCATTTTGCAGAAAGCATACAATAAAAAGTAGGACTCGTCGATTAATCAATGAAGGTAATGCTTGAAAGAGAAATGAAATAAAGGAACAAGGCAGGAGAGGAATTGCAACTTTTTTCAGTTATTAGTCATTACTTATTCTTTTGGTAAAAGCAAGTTTAAAAAATGGTGAAAGAGTGTTGTAGGAGAAGACTAATGGGACAGACCAAAACAGAATATAACCGGAAATAATCCAAATTACAGATGACATTAATCTTAACAATTGCAGAAGATGAAGGATTATATGTTGGAATAATTAAACAAATGAAGCATCCAAAACGATCCAGTTTCATGTCAAGTTGTTGGCCGGGAATCGAGAATAAAATGAAACAGCCTATTACCCCAAATATCAGTTATCACAGAATAAATAGGCTTTGATTTGAAATTTTTTCATTGTTTTCAGATTTCTAAAGTTCACATAACAGAATGACAGCAATAATTTGAATAAAAATTGTATTGATGTTACCTACATAAATATTCATGTGTAGCGTTTAAATTAGGTATTTGAAATTTTTTTTTTTTAAAGGTAAATTGGGTCTAAAAGAAGAGATTTGAATCCTAAATTTAGTATAAATTGTGTGAGAAAAATATGTAAATATGATCGACATAATTATTTTTGAAATAACGAGTTTGTTGGAGTTTTATTTAGTGTGAATTTCGTTCTCGCAGTATATCTGTATTTGAGTCCTGGACAAATAAAATCATTTTACTGGGCTGAACAAAAGAAATCAATTGATTAACATATACCTGTTAATGGGCAGGGAGACTAGGCTCTTGGGCCTGGCTTGATTTGGGCTGGGTTTTAGGAAAGATGTTTATAATTAATTAATTACATTAGATACAAAATATATTTAAATCTGTTAATCTTGTGTAAGTACATTACTACCTCTTGATTAAATTATAGATATCACGAGTTGTATATTTGTATTGTGTAAATATTAAAATTTATGTATTCATATTTTTAATATTAAAATTATAGTTTATAATTTTTGTCAACATAAAAATACAAAATATATTTTTTGTTTTATTAAGTTTAGATCTAATTATTACTAAAGTTTTAAATTATGTTATTTTTATTCGTAGTTATATCACATTATTGTATTATATTTTAAATTATTAAATTTATTAAATTGTATGATTTTTTTTTAATTTTAGGAGAAGGGCATTAAAGTGTATGAATTGTAAGCGTTGCAGATAAAAAAAACCATTAATCTCAACCAGTTAATAACAAATTCAATGAAAATCTGTGAACTACTCTATTAACTAGGGGAAGACTTAAGTTCCAGCGACAACCAGGGGAAAAATACCTGAATAAAAAAGAATCAATCAATCTTTGCTTGTCATGGACAAACTCAGAATAAACTATTAACATCTACATCCTTCCTAGTGTGAAAGAATTAGATTCCTCTTATTATAATAATCTAAATGGCAAGTGGCTATCACATCACTTCTACAGTCGAAATGTGCTTATAAGAAGGGCGTGTGCCCACCACACTCCATGCCCAATAAACATTTTCTTACATTCCTCTTACAATTTCCTCCTATACCATGCCAGCCCTAGAACTTGATCAACAGATCAGATCTGAAAGCTTCAAAAACAATAATAATATTGAAGCTGCAGAAACAAATGCAGAACATGAAGTTGAGGTTTTTGATTATACCAAGAGGGCACAGTGGCTTCGAGCTGCTGTTTTAGGAGCCAATGATGGGTTGCTCTCTACGGCTTCTTTGATGATGGGAGTTGGTGCTGTACGTAAAGACTCCAAGACCATGGTCCTTACAGGGATCGCTGGTTTGGTTGCTGGTGCTTGTAGCATGGCGATTGGTGAGTTGGTCTCAGTTTACTCACAATATGACATTGAATTGACTGAAGTGAAGAGAGAAAAAATGGCAAAAGATTTTGCCGATCATTACTTCGAGAATATGAAAAAAAGTTTGCCTAATCCCTGGCAAGCAGCTGGTGCATCTGCGCTTGCTTTTGCTGTTGGGGCTGTCATGCCGTTGCTTGCTGCTGCGTTCATAAAGGTCTATGTGGTGAGGTTAGTTGTGGTGCTGGCTGTTGCGAGCTTGGCCCTGTTACGGTTTGGTGCGTTGGGAGCCCTGTCGAGGGGTGCACCCATGTTGAAGGCATCGTTAAGGGTGCTGGTAGGAGGATGGCTAGCCATGGGAATAACTTTTGGCCTCACCAAGTTGATTGGCCGCACAGGACTCTAATCCATCTTCTATCACTACATGGGTTTTGGTTTTTAACAGTGTTTTTTTTTTACCGTTTAGCGGTGTTTATTAACGTCACTATAATGTTACGACGTTTGTGAAAAAAGTACCATGCAGAGTGCTGCCCACACATGCATCGCAGTAAATAACGACGTTTTCGAAAAAACGCCTCGATATTAAGGGTGTTTATATCTGAAACACTATCATTTTAACGACATTTATATCTTTGAGACGTCGCTACTTTAGAGGCGTTTGAATATGAAAACGGCTCAATATTTACGGTGTTTGTATCTTTTAGCCACCGTTATTTTAGTGACGTTTTTATAAGAAAAACTCCGTTGCATTGACGGCGTTTGTAACAGAAAATGTCGCTACTTTAGATGCATTTGAATATGAAAACGCCTCAATACTTGTGGCATTTGTATATTTTAGGTGCCGCTAATTCAATGACATTGTTATGAGAAAAACGATGTTGGTGAAGGCGTTTCTATAAAAAATGCCAACCACCTAGCAGCGTTTGCTTGAAAGAGCGTCATTACTTATAGTGACATTTTATGATACAAATGTCACTAAATTATTCATTTAACGGCATTGCTCAACGCAAACACCGCCATTATATAAAAATATTTTTTTTAATTTCTTATAATAAATTTTATTTTTAGTAAAGAGTTTAAATTCAGAAACTGAAATTAATATTAACTTCATTCACATTTAAATATACATATAATTAATACAAAGTTTAATAATTAGTATAATAACATTCAAATATTGCAAATACATTAACCAAATAAAAAATTAAAATGTCTGAAATGGATGACTACATACGTTTTGCTGGCTGCTAATTGATGAAGAAAAATTTTCACCTTGATCACTAGGGTGCTCAATAACCTACTGAATAATACCATATAATTTTTAACATTTCATTGTATGCTTATTTTTTATTTAAAAATTTTAATATTTGCTAAATATAATACCTGAGTTGATGGAGCACCAAGATCATTTCTTAAAAATTATTGTTGCACAAAATTTATAAGATGATCGAATCGATTATGCAACTATTAAAATTTTGCACATTCTAGCTCCATTCTAGCATGTTCTTCTTCAATTTTGGCATGCTCTTGTTCTCTTTCTGCTTTCATTTGCTGAAAATGTTATTGCATAGTTTGCAACTCCCCTCTCAATATTGAAATATTTCACGAAGACTGACTTGCTAAGAGTGTAAATTACGAAGAGTTATATCCATAGTAGGCAAATGGTGTTGGACCCAATCCAAGACCTCGGACCCGTCCATGCCTTTCTTTTTTAGCAAATTCTATGAATATTCAATTTTCATTTCTTGCATGTTGAGAGAACCTTCAGATGCTACTTTAATTTTAGCAGTCATTTTCTCTTTCGCTTTCTCCTGTGAATTTGTCACATACAACTATCAAGTTTAATGATTAATTAATTATATGTTAAAAAGAGTTAATATTTACTTTATGTTAAAATAGATGATAAAAATTATCATAATTTCTTATGTTTCAACATTCATGTAAGATCCATTTTTTTTTTAGTTACGCAAAAAAGTTTCACACGTCTAATTGTATCGTCCATCTCATTCTCCTATACAAAACTATATGTTATTTGATATGATACATATCAACCGTAACTTATTTATGCATATCAATCCTGTTAATCAAGTATTAAAATTTTGAATCATTTTAATCTCCTTTATTTATATTTTGACCCTGTAAAAACACAATAGTCTTAAACATACACAAAGAATAAAAGCATTTTGGGCTTCACACATATCGATCATGGAAACAAAATTTAATTATTTTCTCTTGGTTTAATATCAAGGATTGAAGCCATTCAATATGTTGAAAGGCATCCAAAATTTATTTGTATATTTACCTTTTATATGCAAAAATATTTTCAAATAGACATAACTGATAACTTTTTCTCCTATATCAATTATAGAAATCAAGTTCAATCAATCGAACAAGCTTAATATCAAGTATTGAAGCTATCGAAATTGTTAAAATACAACAATAACAATGACTAGATAATAAAGGCATAAATATACTTAAATAGTAACTTTTCATACATATCATATGTGTAACTAAGTTCAAAACTTTCGATAAGTTTAATATCATGTATTAAAACAATCAAATCTATTAAAACAAAACAATAAATGTTAATTTCCATATTTACCTTTTTACAGCAGAAAAAGTTCATTCATTGAAATAAGTTAATTATTATAAACTTACGATTTCTTTTTGCTTTCTTGCAAAACTTTTTGATCCACTTATGTGGCTATATTTTTGTTACTTTTTGCTACCAATCCCAATTTGTTCTCTTTCCTATCATAAAAAATAATTGTGTATATGATAGAAATACAAATATTACTAACTGAAACCATCAAACACTTTCATCATTTCATTCTATTATACAAAGTTATAAACTAGTACCTCTCATTTTTTTAAGAACCAAAATCTAATCAGTTGTTCATATTACCACCTAATCACATTACGGGATAGATTTTGCATCATTGCCTCTATAATAATATTTCGATCGAAATACTTATTTTTCAAATTATGCTTATAATCTTTCCATTTCTTTCCCAATGGCTTAAGCACAAATAAAGTTGATATTTCAAGTACAAATCTTGACTGTAATAATACAATAAGAAAAGTTTGAATAAGTAAACAAAATGTAAAATAAAAAATTTGAATTTATCTAATTAATTATACTAATACCTCAATAAAGTTTAACGCATCAGCTTAACTTATTTTGGAACATTATGCCATGTTTCATAATGAATAGGCATTTCATTCCATTATGGGCTAGCATGCATAGAAATTCAGCCAATAGTTAAACTTTTTCACCAATTGGTTGCCTATCAAAGTTTACAGACATTACAATACGCTCGTTATGAGGTTGTGCAAATAATTTCTTCAAAGTTGTCTGGCCTTTGATCCTCCGTTGACCATTGTTATTAACTGCAACAAATATAAAATATATTTTTAAAATCGTAATACTTTTATCAGTATACTCGAATTCTAAAATTGGAGTATATCATACCTGCATTCAAATTTAAAGCATAATCAATTGATGGGGTACTATTTAAATCTGGACCTCTCATATTGCCAGACTAAAATCAGTTGAAGGGTTAGAGTGACAGAGTTAGATCCGACAGTATGTTCATTTGCCTTTAAAGGATTTAGTCCATAACCAATATCTATAGGTGCCACAGATGGTTCTGAACTAATATCTCTGATATATTTTTCTTTCAACCTACTTCTCTGTATTATAGCTTACTTACATTATAAAAATGAATATAAAAAAAATGTTAGTTTAGAAGATATATAGACATTTTCAATTTAAGAAATCAAAACCTATGATATATAAAGAACATATCAATTTAATAAAATCACAATATAATGTATGATTTAGAAGACAATAATTATACAATAGCGAATGTGACATTATTTACATACTATTATTTACTACATTATGTCTTAAACACTCGAATTACAAATTATAGATGTATGGAATCATGGTTCGTAAATGTCTTCAGTAACATCTTCACGGACCCACTGAGCATAGATACTGAAGATATTTTCATTCAAGTTTTGTTCAGCAAAAGGATAACATTCAATTCCATGTTCAATATTATCTTTGGTATTTAATCCCATATCAAATAAGTCTCTAGGTGTGTTTCGAAAAACAACAAACTAAGCTAATTTTTTCAGATCTTCAGAGTAAAATACTTGTTTGACTTGAGATGAAAATACATAAGGTTCATCGATGAGTTGTTGTCCAGTGTGAATTAATCAAGAAAAATTCATAAGGGTAAATTCGTACTGATGTTTCTTAAGATCTCTCGTACTATTCACATCAGCCCAATCACACCAAAATAAGATAACTTTTCACTTGCCATAAGAATTCAACTCAATGATGTCATTAATCATGCCATAATAGTCAACATTTTCCTCTAAAGGGTTTGTGTCTCTAGCACTAGTTAACTAGTAGTTGATAAAGTTACAACAACTCTTGAATTTTGTGTACTTCTAAATCTCTCACGAAATTTTATGTGAAATTTAAATCCATTGATGATGAAACTTTTGTATCGTTTCACAATCTAGTTTGGATCGTGTGAAAGACACTTAAACTCTTCACTAATAAGCCTTCCACTCCAAACCTATAAAAATGTAATAAATATATATATTTTATTAATATAATTTTTACCGTAAGCATTCTATGTAGATAAAACATAATGAAAAGTATGGCATTACTTACAATTGCTCCTAACCATTCATGAAAGTTTTCAGCAAACAACTTATCAACTTTTCGAGGGTTTGACTGTCGATAATGTGCATGAGCTCTCAAATTATTTTTATATTCACTATAAAACATCATGATAAAATATTAACAATAAAAAAACATAATAAATTATACCTAATGTAATGAATAATTTTCTTGCTAAACAACTTACGTGCGAAATGATTAAATTAAGTCATGATGAAAAAGAACATATCGATGTGCTTGTGCCCAAGATTTATCATCTAACTCCACCAATTCAGCTTTGCCTATGGGTTGTCCAAAACTTTGAAAAAGATAACTGTAGGTCGAGTCTGTATGCTGCATACCAACATTTCTCGAAGGTCTATTAAATCTCATTTTAACATCTTTCAAATAACGAGCACAAAATATCATACACTCTTCTGCTAAATATCCTTCAACAATAGAACTTTTCGGATAGCATTTGTTACAACAATAAGACTTTAACGTCCCTAAAAAGTTATAGCATAAAACATTAGTCATATGTTATTTTAAGTAGATTGGCTTGATAATCAATAAAAACGTAATCAATCTATTAACAAATAATACCTTTCAATAGGATACATCCATTGATAATAAACTAGCCTACCGACCTTTGCTTCATATGAAATGTGGATAACCAAATGCATTATAATAGTGAAAAAGTTTGGAGGAAAGATCTTCTGTAAATGACATAAAGTAATCACGGCTCGATCTTGAACTTTGTTAAGCTCTTTCACATTCATACATTTCTGACATAGAGATTTAAATATGTTACTCAATTC